TGTAGTTGACAAGGTATAATTACTTTGTCAAAATATCAAGACTACTCGCCTTTGTGATAAGTTAGACTATCATAGGCTAGGACCTTTTTCTATTTGTGAAAAAATCAATCTTGTTGCTTATTAATTACATCTAACAGAGTCTATGAAGATCCAACTTGTATTTCATGTATCTCTTCTCAAGCCATATAAGATAGTGAATATCTTGGAAAGAAGACAAATACTACCTTCTCCTATAGAAGTGGATAATAATCAAGAGTTTGAGGTGGAAGAAGTCTTAGATTCAAGGCAGCAGCAAAATAGGTTGGAATATCTTGTTCATTGGCATGGATATTATTTTAGTAAATATACATGGGAGCTAGCAAAGAATCTTGCAAATACAACAAAGAAGATTGGGGCCTTTCACTGATGACATCCATCAAAACTAAGATAAAGAATTATAAAGATTCATGAAAGATAATAACCGCTCTTTGTGGAACTTGTCCCTAGAAGAGGAGGTAATATCATGGACATAAACATTTACCTCAATAATTACTTATATGATTAGGTAGAAATATGTAAATATAGATTAATTTCATAAAGCCTTCTAAAGAAGCTTCTTAGAAGTTTCATAGATGTAGTTTTGACTTTAAATATGTTTGTAGATCAAAAACTTGGCCAATAAGTTAATCACATGTGGTTAGCAAAGTCAAAATGTTTTGGAGGTCCTATAAGACATTGCCACATAGCTTCTAATTATAAGTATATAAAGAGACAAGAATGAAGCCTTCTTCATTCTTGTCAATGCCGTTCTAGTCTTTAGTCTTCTTTTAAGACTTTCTAATCTTCTTATTTTTGGCAATAGCCATTCTAGTTAATATTATATTATCTTTTGAGTGACTTTCTAGTTCTCTTTAGTGACACAAGAGCATATCAAGGATTCTCTTTCTTTGAGATTCATGTCCCTCACAAAATATTATATTAGATAGAAGGACTTAATATATATCAAGATTTTAAAAAATCCTTTTCAAGATTCTTAAGGTAGATGTAAAATTATTTTCAATCTTTTTCTTCAAATTGATGGACAAATGGAGCATGTAAATCAAGTTTTGGAATACTATTTTAGATATACCATCAATTACCAACAAGATGATTGAATAACTTTTTTGCCATTGATAGGGTTTGCATATAATAATATGATACATTGTTCTACTCATTAAATACTTTTCTTTACTAATTATGATTATCATCCATGATTTGATGTTTTTGACTTTTTAAGAGCTGATAATCTTGCAACAAAAGATTTGAAAAATTATTTGTCAAAATTATATGCAATAATGAAGGTACAATTAAAAGATGCTCAAAAATAACAAAAGATAAACATATATGCCTATTGCAAGGAACAATTACAATTCAACATAGATAACAAGGTATGGTTACTTCATTGTAAAATCAAGACTATTTGTCTTTATGACAAGTTGGACTATTGTAGGCTTGGACCTCTTCTTATTTGAGAACAAATTAATCTAGTTACTTATCAATTTCACCTACTATAATCAATGAAGATCCATCTCATATTCCACATATCTCTTCTTGAATCATATAAGATAATGAACATATCAAGAAGAAAATAGGTGCCACTTTATCTTATAGAAGTGGAAAATAATGAAGAATTTGAGGTGGAAGAAGTCTTTTTAATGACACATTGCAATTGACTCAACCTTCAAGATAATGTAACCAAAATAAAGATTTTCAAGAATAACATATTCTTCTTCAAATAGAGAGCAAGATATAATGTATTTGATATCATGACCTTGGAAGAGACTTCCAATGTTTGGAGATTTTATTAGAGATAGAAATAATTCCTAATAATGTTCCAAATGTTTTATTTGAAGGAAGTTATAAAGGCCTCAACAATGATCAAATAACAAGGTGGTCTTCTTGTCCTAGTATGATACATTATCAATGGCTAAGAGGACCTATCAACCAACTTCAAAGAAAACAAAAATTAGAATATGTGACAAATATAATTTGTTGCATTTAAAATTCTTCTTAACATATGATGATTGTGCTTTGTGGAACTTGTTTCTAGAAAAGAAAGTAATATTATAAATATATATATTTATTTTAGTATTTATCTATATGATTAGGTAGAAGTAGGTAAAAATAGATAAAAATAGATTTATTTCATAATTATTTTTAGAAAAGCTTTCTAAAAGTTTTATAGATATAATTTTGAGTTTAAAAATATTTATAATTGATTTTTAGATTAGAAACTTGGTCAATAAATTAGCTACATATTACATGTGTAGGTAGCTTGTAGAAAAAGTTAACTATGTAGTATATATATATTAAAAACTTACTTTATAAGTTGACATGTGGCTTGCAAAGTCAACACATGTTGAAGATCCTATAGAATTTTGCCACATAGCTCTTAAATAAATAAAGTATATAGAGGCAAGAGTAAAGCTTTCTTCACTGTTATCAACTTCGTTCTTACTTTAGTCTAGATTTGAGAGTCTTTAATTTTCTTGTCTTTTGATTATAGTTATTTTAATTTTCTTTTAATATACATATTTCTTTACTTCTATTTATCATACTTCTTTGAAAAAAGTCTCACTTAATTATTTTCTTTCATTTGGTTCTTATCTTTGACATTTGATTACGATTTCATTAGGATTTTATTAGGATTTAATTTAAGATTTAGAATTTATTTATGATTTATTAATATTAAGATTAATTTAGGATTTTATTATGATTTAATTATGATTATTTAGGATTTTATTAAGATTTTGTTAGGATTTAAGAATTTTTAGGATTTATTTAGGATTTATTAGAATTTGGTTAGAATTTGATTTAGGATTTGTTTAGGATTTGATTAAAGTTTGTTGAAGGTTACATTAGGATTTTATTAGGATTTATTTAAGATTTCTTTCTATAATATTTTAAAAGATTTTTTTGATATTTTTTAAGGATTTTTTATTATATTTATTTTTTAATGGTTAATTTATGATTTCTTTATATTTCTTTTGTAATTTCTTTGAGACTTCTTTTGTGATTTTTTTGAGATTTGATTAAAGATTGATTATTATTATTAAAATTTAATTAGAATTTATTTATAATTCTATTAAAATTATTAGATTCTTATTGTTGTAAATTTCATTTTACCTTTTATAGTGAAGTGCTTAGTGCATTCTTAAGCAAACTTCACAAAATATGACACCATTATCATTGGCTGTATAGATTTTGAAATTGGTGCCAACTTCTCTACCTTAAGTACTTCAACTAATTCACTTATTCAAAGAAAAAAACTTACATCACCATATTCAATTGATATTTGAATAAAGTTGGAGAATGTATTGAAATTAGATGTGTACTTGTGAAGTTTCACCTCCAGACATCTTAGATAATTTAGATTATAAGATTACCTCATAATTAACTTACTAATTTACTTGCAAGATACAACAATGATGTATTTGGACAAACAATCTAGACATAAATTGTACTCCATGTAATCACCTATAGCTCAAGGGCTTACAACAATGATGTATTTGGACAAACAACTTAGATATAAATTGTACTCCTTGTAATCACCTACAGCTCAATGGCTTGCCCTCTCTTTATTCAAATTTGACTATTGTTGATTTCCATTGATCCAATGGTCTTTCTTTGATTCACAAGTAACTAATACCACATAATAAAAAAAAAGTTGTGGTTGTTGAATGCAATCCACTTTTCCATCTACATCAACAAATTCATGAAATGAAAGCTGCATTTATGTAGTAAAAAAAGCTAGTGAGGCCCCAAGGCTTTGCAACTAAGTTTAGCATAAACTCATTCATGCTAGTATGTTTTTTTTTGTCATTTCATCTATTTAGTCATAGTAGCTAAGTATTGTGGAGGATAGAAATCATTGTAACACTGTTGCGAGATATGTGCTTGTTATGCTAATCAAGCTAGGCACAAACCATTCTTTGTTAACAAACCATTCTTTGTTAGAGTAGAATCGGGTATCTAAATGCTCGGCTGATGTATCTCTTCATCACCAACGTGACTTAGAAATTGCCGATAAGCATTTTTTTGCTTTTCAAGAAGCCATAAGCATGTAATTGCTGGTAGTGAGTCGAGGTTACAGTTCGTACTTCAAATTAATTGTGTTCTCTTTCATTACCACATTAACATTTATCAGTTGCGACGAATAGTTGCGATGCACAAATGATTGTGTTTGAACTGCTCACCACAGCAATTCAACAAACACTGTACAATACCCTCAGATATATGTATAGAACATTCATAATCAAAACTGAGTAGCTCCATCGTCGTAGGATACATGTCTTCCCAAACGACAATGAGCAGCGTCGTCATCGTACACCCCACAGCATGTCCACCTTTGTTACCAATTTTTTCTTCCCGTATTTGGTCGTTCATTCTTGGTGTTCCACTTACAGACAATAAGTCCACTTGAATCACTCCACTCTCCGTCTTATCCTTGATGTGGAGGCGGGTAGGGATACAAACCTGGATCTCCTGATGCCCAGCACAAGAAAACGACAGAGTGATCACAATGCACTGCAAAATGTTTTGGAAGCCGCAGCAGAAAGCCGATCCACTCTTCTACAGTCAACATCAATTAGGCATGTCCATTTTTGAAACTGAGTTGCACAACGACAGATGGTGGTGGGGATCGCGGGATGAGGCTCGTGATCGGTAAGGGGCGGGAGCAGACGAGGGAGCGCAACGAGAAACACCCCTGTAATATATGACGGATATATTTACAATTAAAAATTTGACAGGGGTATATTTTAGAATTTCCCTTTATTTAAAGTATGAGGTGTATGGCGGTTACCCACTTACAAGTAGCCACGTGTTAAGAGGCCATAAGAAAGTGCCACACACCAATCAATTCTAAGCATCCATTGTCGACGTGGACTGTCCACGTGGCTATCGGCTTAGACTAGGGCTGTCCTACGTGGCCATCCTCTTCGTGAACTCAACTAGGAGCTGTTGTCGTTGGCTATGGCGCCCTGTTGCGGGATTGAGCTCCGATCACACGGCCCGGTGGATGCAGGTTTTGTTTTATCTTTTCCAGATGTTGGATGTGGCGAAGGGTTTCGATTTTTCTGCTGAAGTAGAGGTTTCGCCAATCGAATTTGGTATCGATCCTCGTGTAGGGTCGCAATATCGCTTCTCCAGAAAGAGGCCGTCGATTGAATGTAGCTTCAATTTCAATCTGTTCGCATGCGGTGTAGTTTTGGCAATCATTTGGATTGTCGCGTTGAATCGTGGCTGTTAGACAGAGGATTTTCTGTGAACTGAAATTATGTACAGAGACGTAACATGTATCAGGGTTTATTTGTTACTGCTTTTTCGGGGGAGTATATAGATGATCGCTACCCTCGAAATTATTGCTAGAGTTAGTTTGAAGGTAAATTCACAGGATGGACTCGAAGGCTGACGTAGTTGGATTCTGTTCTCTTACCAGGACGCTTTTGAGGAGTTGAAGGAGAAGATTCCATCTGTACATATTGTTTTGGTAACAGGAAGGGACTGACCTAAGGTCTTGCCCTTGCTCAAGCTGAGCATCATGGTTCACAATGCATTTGATTTGGTTCAAATTCTGAAAGACTGTCCTGTGAAGATCGACAGTGTGGGACTATGGGGGTCCAGGATTCTTGTTGGATGCATGGATGGTTCATTGCGAATGTACGTGCCTGAGTTTATGGATAATCCTACCTCATTCAAGGAGCCTGATCTATCGTCTGGCTCTTATATTCTCAAAGATACCCGAATTGGTTTTGCAAAGAAAGCAGTGACGTCCATGGATGTCTTGCAATCTCGTAATCTACTGATTACACTCTCGGATACGGTTGCGGTTCATTCCTTGCCAGAATTTGACCTTGTTGCATATCTAACGAAGACAAAGGGTGCAAACTTATATGCGTGGGATGAGCGGCGGGGGATGCTGGCAGTTGCAAAGGCCAAGAGACTCTTTCTGTACAAATATGATGGTATGACGGTCCCATAAAGATTTGCATTCCATCCGCTCGGTACTGCAATCAAAATGATGAATGCTGTTATTTGAGTGGAAACTTTGTGTACCATATGATGTTCACTAGATCAACTATCATTTCTCATTTTTCATCCAAACTCTGGATTTGTTGCAGGGAACAAAGATTTCGGAGAGGTGAAAGAGCTAGCAGCTCCTGATGTGGTCAAGTGCATGGCCTGGGTTGGAGATTCCCTATGCCTAGGGATCAAGCGCGAATACGTCATTCTTAATATCTCCACCGGCGTTAGTTTTGATGTCTTTCCTTGTGGTAGACATGCAAACCCGCTTGCAGTACCGCTTCCAAATGGTGACCTATTGCTTGGCAAGGTATATGAGTCTCACTTAAAATATTCGTGTAAATACTCATGGATGCCATGGAGTTCCAATTCTTGCATTATGTCCTTATGGACAATGAGTTGATTTACAAAAATATTTCTTCGTAAAATGATTTTGAATCTTGCTTACCTCTGAGGTTTCCTGATTAATATGTACTTCCAGCATTAATTTGAATCTTACTTATATGTAGTGGTTGTAAAGGTCTTGCTAAGTTTGCTTGTTCTACAGGACAACATTGGTGTGGTAGTGGATCACAATGGCAAGTTGTCGCATTCTGGTGAGGGCAACTTAAGCTGGTCAGAATCACCTACCAGTGTTGTCATTCAGCCACCATATGCCCTGGCCCGGTTGTCTCGTTTCATCGAGGTTTCTTCCTCCTTCAGCTCATTGTTTTTAATTCGACGTAATTATATGTACCATATATTGTTCTATCTTTTATGAGTTGCTAGTTCTTGTTGTTTTTTGGTGCCTTTTGAATGTTAGTCTTTGTGCATTCCCATACTTTCTTGATCTTGTTTCATTGTCGATCTGATCATCTGACTTTGAACATTATCTACAGGTAAGGTCGTTGAGAGCGCCCTTTGGGTTGGTCCAGACACTACCACTTCGTGATTCACATGTGATATTTGCTACTGAGGCTGGGATTATTGCTGCATCTGACTACTCAATATATCGCCTCCTGCCAGTTCCTATTGGAGTACAGGTTAGCATGTAGTATATCAATGTGTACAAGCCATCCTTGATTGACGTCAATCAATGCACAGGTTCACAAGTATAATTATCACTAGCAAATGTTTTTCGCAACATTATGACTGTATTTGTATGAAGGTGTTAGACATCCAGCATACATATGATGACTGTTTTTAGTCACACTGGTACGTTAGGGGCACGGTAGCTCATCCTTATGTTTAAATACTGACAGGCTTCAAACTAAAGTCACTGAAGCAATTAACACGCTGCATTTCTTATAACTGTGTGTCGGCATCAGATACTAAAGAGGTGCTCAGATAGGTGTTCCATAGAGAGTAATAAAGGCCGAGATGGTTAATGCGTAAATGTTCGACAGCCATATTTGCGGTTTCCGGTGGTTGATTTTTAGCTTTTAACGGCATGTTGTATTTTTTACCTGCACTCGTGTCTAATTTATTTATTTATTTATTTTTTTCCCTGCTTTGCAGGTGGTCCAATTGGCGGCTTCTGGAAACTTTGAGGATGCTCTTGCTCTGTGTAAGTTGTTACCACCAGAGGATGCTGCATTACGGGTCTCTAAAGAGGACGCCATACACATTCGGTAGCGCTTCTCTTGTCTCTTTCAATCTTTGTTGAGAGCGGGTTCAGACAGCTTGCTTCTGTTGCAGTAGACATGCTAGTTTTTTATGTCTTTAGCGATTTCAAAGTTTCTTAGTCATGCTCCTATTCGTCCTTTCGTGGCAGCTTTTCATTATTCCTTTTTTCTAAGTACTTTTCACTCAATTGACTATGTTTGTTTGTAAAAGTCTCTCGTAAAATTCTTGTGCGTCATCCTTCGTGTAGGTTCTTTTTAAATTAGGCAAGTTGAAGCCAGTTACGTGGATAGTGCTTTCATCAGAATTTGGATTAACTGGATCTACTAAACACAAAGTAGCTTAGAATTGATGCCTTGGTTGCTTAACAAGATCTGGAATGTATGCAACAGCATGTTTGTATTGTACCATAGGTCTGGGGAGAATACGGTTTATCTTTCTATGCAAATGGATGCTTTAGGTGTCCTCTTTAATTTGGAATTTGCAGTTTATAACGCTGATTAACTTCTTATCAATGAGAGTGCAGGTATGGTCAGTACCTGTTTGAACAGCAGAAGTACACTGAAGCAATGGAGCACTTCGCTGCATCATCCCTCGATTTACCTACGATTCTATCTTTATTTCCTATGATCAAGCTCCCAAATGTCGGTGTGGCAAAGGACCTTCCAAACGTTAAAGAAAGCGAGTCTGGTGCTACTACTCCAAGAGGGTCACTAACGCCTTCCACGTCAGAGACTCTAGAGGGTAAAGACATTCTAGCAACACTTTCAGACTTTCTGATGACGGCCATGAGTGACAGGAGCTGTAATAATTTTTGAAAAGAGTGTATACTTCAGATGTGCACTCTGATTCATTCTCCTATTGTCAGCTTATAACTGCGTGAACATAGAGAATGAACTCTCGAGTGCACAGGAATGTCATGTGCGTGCACTCCCAAAGTTGACGATGCTTTCTTGCGAATGCAGATACTGCAGTTGCATTGCAAAGTCTTGCATTAAACCAAGGGCTTGATTCAAGACACAGAAAAATTGCATTGGGGGCTCTTGCAACTTTGTTGTTGAAGAAAAGGGGCTCTGTGATTGCGCAAGCAGAGGCAGAAGAGACTGAAGCAGCAGTTGCTGCCATGGTTGAGGTCGCTGGAGCTACCCACCGGCGAGTCAGAAGTGTTGACAAGGTAGGTGAATTAAGAATTGTACTCTAATTGATTATCAGATTTGGCATCTCATAAATTTGCTGGCTCCTATAAATATACAGGGACATTCCATGCGATTCCTCATTTTCTGCTTCATCCAATTTGTTACAGCAATAGAGGTAGTCTAATGTAGAGTTCATGTGGTCTATATCAATGTTTGAATGAGGATGTTGCTCCCTGACAGCATGCAGAGGTTGGAGAGGAGAGAAGCGCACGGAACTCGGGTGCCCGAGAAGTTGCAATGATTTTAGACACGGCCTTGGTGCAAGCTCTACTCTCTACTGATAACTTATCAATGGCTTTGCAAGTGCTAAGTGGCCCAAATTATGCAGATGTTGATGCTTGTGAAGACGTCATGCTTGAAGGTAACACAATAATCTTGGTATACACGGATGGACTTGTTTACTTGGTGACATGTCCTGTAAATGTATATTGTGCATCTCGATCGTTCTTTTAATGCACAGAATGTCTTCGAAGACATCAACCTCTAGAGTATTTGTCATTCTCTGTGACCAGACTGTGGAACCAATGAGTCCATACCATTTTGATTCCATTTTCGTTTGTCTTAATAATGATCTCAGGTGTGGAAAAGTTGAGTTTCTTAATTGCCATTACCTATTATCTACACTGGCAGGTGGACATTATGCTGAGCTCGTCCAGCTCTACAAGAGTAATCATAAGCACCGGGAAGCTCTTCTTTTCTTGAACCGTTTGGCTGAACACCCCGAGTCTTTTGCTATGCCACCAAAGAATCCCGAGCAGTTCGGCCCCAAGGCCATTGTTCAGTACCTTCAGGTTTGTTTGACACCTCAAATCGTTGTGCAAGTCATGTTTACTTAAACACTGAGTATTAACAAACCCTTTATTACTGCTTCAGGTGTGCTGCTCGTTTTGTAAAGTGCATTTCTTACACTCTACCATTTCTCTTGTTATCGACGCTAATTTGTTGATGACGATCGTACACGTCGTACTTTAATGGACTTTCCTCTACATGATTATTATGATGACCTTTAAATTATGTACTTTGTAAAAGTTTAAGTCTCTGAATATTGCCCGAAACGCGTATGTGTGTCGACAGGCACTAGACAGTGTAGATCATGACCTCGTAATAGACTGCTCCCAGTGGCTTCTCAAAAGCCATCCAGAGGATGCACTAAATCTATTTGTTACTTATGACCCACCTCTACCACCCTCATTGGTGCTCTCAAATCTTAAAAGCAATGCACCAAACCTACAAATTCCATATTTGGAGCAAATCATGGAGCGAAGACCAGAGACAAGATCGCTGGAACTTGAGAATGAACTGGTATGGTCAGACATTCTTGTGTCCTTCAATGTGCGTCTGCATTGATGTGTGCTTTTCCCTTTTACCAGGTTTATGTGCTTCCTCGGTGACGGAGTCAGTTATGTCCAACACGATGTTTTTCTTTCGTTTCACATATGAAGGCTTTGATGTTCTGTGACATGGGTTTTTATTGCTTGAAAGTATACAGAATTATTAAGGTCACAATGAGTATTTGTTCGTCCTCAGGTACAACTTTACTTGACTAAGGTGCTGGACGAGCGTGCTGAGCACATGTCTCAAGACAAATGGGATGAGAAAAGTCATAGTGAGGCTCGCCAGAAGCTCTTAGCTGCCTTAGATTCGTCACGATTTAATGCTGAGAGGGTTCTACAGCGGTTGCCCGTCGATGGTCTGTATGAAGAGAGGGCCTTCTTGCTGGGTCGTATGCGACAGCATCGCCTTGCGCTTACACTTTATGCTCACAAGGTATGTGGTGTAGTCGCCTGCCTAATGTCCTGAAATAATTTCTAATATCCTGACCACAAAATTCAGAGTATTTATAATACTGTGGGGTTTTGGAATACCCAATGCTCTTATCATCATCAATGCAGTGGGTTCTTTTATCCTTCTAACTAGAGGTGTCCTATTCGCAGCTCCATGAAGCCGACTTAGCTCTAGCTTACTGTGATCGTGTATTTACTCCCACTGCTTCTGCCTTGCAACGAAACACAGCCTCGCTCGCATCTTTGGCTTTGAGACCGCAACCGAAGGACCCAGCAGCTGCTAATATCTACCTTATACTACTGGAAGTCTATCTTAAGCCTAAAGCAGCAATACAAGAATTCGATCGTTCTATTGCTAGTCTTGCTCCCGTGAGAAATACAATTAATCAACGAACCACCGCAGCGCCACGTGCCAAAGGCATCAAGAAGATTGCACAAATTGAGGATGGTAAGAGATCTGCATTGTTTGTCTATTTGCTAGTGATTTTCTTCCTTATTGTGCGCTGAATTAGATTGTTGAATGTGGCATGCTTTCTTATGTATGCCAGTGTCTGCTGCTTTTAGGGCATAGGATTGTGGATTCATGTTCAGGATAATACTTTTGAGATTTGCTCTGGAATTTGTAGTTACGGGGTAAGACTTGAAAGATGGTTTTTCGCATTTACTGTTAAGCTACGAACAGCTCTGACATAGGATATGGCCTTCTTGGATTTTTTTGTTCCTATGTTAGATGTTTACTTTGGGGGCCCTAGTACAGACAGTACACCAGAGAATGGTCGAAGTGAAAGCGAATCAGAGCCACTTGAGCACCAGAGTACTATAGCAGATGAAGGCATAATGCTTGAGGAAGCACTGACCCTTCTCAGCAAACGGTGGGAGCGTATGGATTGTGCCCAAGCTTTGCGCATGCTGCCTTCTGATACAACTCTTCAGGTATTTTTGTTCACAACCACAACAATGGTGGTTGATGTTCTCAGTGTTCATGCTTTAGTGTGTGGACGCTGCTAAATAGTAACCTTTCTCAATAATTATCGGACTTCAAAAGATATTAAACCTTAATCGTAGGCATCTTCATATAAGTGTGTCAAATTTTGTTTAATCTCACTGACAAATTTCTATTTTTCGTACTTTGCAGAAATTAATAACGTTTTTGGAGCCCTTACTGTGCAAATCGAGCGAAGCGCATCGCAATGGGTCGGTGATCAAAAACTTGCGTAGAAGTGAAAGCCTCCAGGTATACATATCTCTATCTGAATTCGAGGTGCATTTTTCTTACTTCCTAGATTTTCAGTCGGTGCAGAATTCGACTGTTTTGATATTTTGGTTGTTTGACCTTCCCAGGTTCGAGAGGAATTGACGGAGTGTCGGAAGCGGATGGTGCGAGTTACTACTGATAGGACATGCTCCATTTGCCAGAAACGTATTGGCAATACTGTTTTTGCTGTGTATCCAAATGGAAGTTTAGCTCACTTCGTTTGCTTTCGCGATCGCCAAAGCCCAAAACCAGGCGCCGGCTCATAGAGCATTATAAAATCTTCCTTTAATTGTTTTGAACAAATTCCATCATACTTTTATATAGTAGATTTGACGTTGTATATTCTTTCTGCGTATTTTTCTTGTTTTTTTTCGTGAGAAGAATGACGTTAATCGTCTGAATGTTCTAATGTATGAAAAAAATAAATAACATAAAAAATAAAAAATAAAAAAATCAGCGTACTTTTTACCAATTAGTTTCAGAGTAGTTGTAGAGGTTTGGGATTTTTCAGGTCTAAATTAAAACAAGACGACGAGTTTTAGATAGATGAAAACTACATAGAAGTTAATCTAGGAACATTAAATAATCAGCTCATTGTCCATCGTATAGATACGAGGACCTGTATACGAGCCCCTCTTTACATACAAACCAACATTCACAGTTCTCAATAGGTCCCACTCCCATCACCCGTTGCCAGTGTTCAGGCTAATCATCAGGCCAGTGAATGAGGTTTAATGTGATCCCACGTACTAAATGATCAATGATCAATCTAAATGTTTTTTAGGCCCACTCAATTTGTGGCCGATTGCAATAGCAGCTGGTCGATCAAGCCACGCTAAGCACATGGCCGCCGTCCATGAAAACTGCTTACCCCCGCATCCATCTCCCGTCATAGGGTCGAAGTACTCCCTCAGTCCAGCCTTGCTAGTTAAATCAATCGAGTCTTGCTTGATACGATTTGCAAGTTCCTCATACCTACGCAAACAATCGATATGTGAATACATGCAGACATAAATGGACCCTCTCATTCGAAACAAGAATTGAGCACAACGTATGTCGATTCAAAAGCGAACGTGATCAGAAGGTTGGGTGGGGGAGAAACCCGTAGTGTCGAAGCCCGTTCGAGATCATCCAGTTGATGATGAGCCACACTGGGCCCCGCCAGTAGCGAAGTTGGTCGAAGCGGGGATCTTCTGGATCCAAGCTCGGCACTCCATACTTCACCTTGCTCAACCACCGCTCTAGATTGGCAACCAGCTTCGCAGCTTGCTCCTTGGATGCCACGCCTGTGTGATTCGAAGAGGCCGAATTAGTTACACTGTTCTGCAGTTTTCCAGTGTGCTTTGTGCGAATTTGGCCATATTCGTGATGGATTCAGCTACAAGAGTAGCAAAGCAAGAACGACTAATAATTGTTTCTTCACATATAGCAAGTGCGAGTTTAGGACAATATATGAAGATCGTGTCGAACAAGCAGTACTCTGAAATAATTGCATGAATGAAACGAGAGCCGCACCGTGACCACGATTACCTGCAAATAAAGGGAGGAACGCTGCTGAAGTTGCAGCGTTGGCAAGCTTCCCTGTGATGTGATCCTGGCATTTATACACTCCTGTTTGATCGTCCCAGAGCATGTTAAACCCCTTGAAGCCATCGTCCAACCATCTCTCTATCTCCATCGCTTCCTCCTGCTTACCAAGTTGCAGCGCAATCCACCGCAGATCCCGATTGGCACGAAACAAAATGCTGTTGACACATAGATCAGTTACATGGAAGGGGGAGATCCAGTAAAGCTGGTCTGGGTCGTAGAAATGAGTCTTCTTAAACCTGCAATTACGTTGCCGTGCATAAATGGTGAATCAATCAAACCGCTGTTTGTGAATAAACTAGGAGTGAACATTGCAATGAATGTGAAATGAAAGGGTTTAATAAATTACCTGTACAAAAGAGTAAGATAATGATCGTAAGTGTCTTTCGTTGGCCGCATGCTTGCATCGACGTGAGTCAGGTCGCGGCGAACATATGGAGGAAGGTCGATGTCGATGCGGAATTTCATGGGTTCGTCCCACGCAGGGCTGTTGTCCATACCAGACTCCCAAGGATGTAAGATAGCCACCACGCCTCTATTTTCAGGGTCGCGAGCCTGCACATCCACATCCAAGAAAACCCAATTTTCAATCCTCGTACATCTTTCTTCAAGCATCTTCAAACAGAGAATTCACTGCTTGTGTTAGTTTTTGTTAAGATAAATTAAGTACCTTATACCACCACCGATGCCATGCAAGCATCTTCGGAAACAAGACCTCGATCTTTTCTTTCGCCAGGTCTTGCATCTCGGCGTGCTCGTACAGGAATCTCGCAGCCATCGCAGCAACAGGTGGTTGCGAAATGCCAGAAGTTTTGCTGGGCTTCTCTGGCGTGCCCCAAATCTCAGGACCCGGGAAGTACGTCTCAGAGAACTTGTGGAAGTTGATGGAGGCGACCATTCCGTCAGCCCACTGGTCCGAGAACAGAGTCTCTAACTCTTCCCACGATCGCTCTTCGTCGAAGACAGCCCATCCAGCTGAAACGATCGCCGAGTCCCAATTCCACTGCATAGTGCAACCCCAAAGGCAGTTTGAGATGACCGATACACCCTCCTCGACAGATCCTTCACATTCTGTAACAAGAACCTCGACATTCGAGCATTGCAACAGCAAGAAGAAGAAGAATATATGTATATATATATATATATATGTATAAAGTGATTGCGTTACCTGAAATGGGTAGAGGCCTTCCGCAGGCACAGTGTAGCCACCGCGATCATTCATGCGGAGAACATGTATAGAGTTGCGCACAATATGAGATCGCACATCTTCCTCCAATCGCTCCTCGTACTCCCTGCTTGCGAACGATTCAATGCACTGAATTGACACAGTGCGTGGTGAAAGACGAAATCATGTGGAGGATTATGGAACCAGGGCACGACACTTCCCAAGTTCTGAACGAAATAGCAAGGTGACTTACAAGTGACCAACGGAGAAGAGGCGATGCAAGCTCCGAGACCTCCAATTCTCATGATCCAAACCTGTCCGGAGGGCCACTTCTGTGGCTTGTTGGCCCCGATCATTGGAAGGAGAATGACGACCTTTCTTAGCTTTCGTTACCGGATATCGAGGTTCCGAGGGAGTTGCAATCAAGTCTGTCATAGTAGAAATCAGCTCCTCTTTCTGGGATGCCATGAAATCCTGCGGTGGTGCCATACCTGCTTTGGTTCTCTGAGCCGTGCCTTCAATCTCCAAACAGGCGCTCCAGATCAATCACCCTTCATGCCAATACAGAGAAAAAAACAAACCGATGTTCTTTGTCGACCACCACTATGATCATCTTCACGGCCAAATTGAAGCAATCAAACGTTCGCAGTCCTTTAACGCAACAAGGCTTGGCAGCATGTCCAGAGGAACTAAACCCACATTCGACTTGGATCTCAACTACGCACGCTCATCTCCCACAAACGTTCACATCCAGCAACCCTACGACCAAAGACACTTCTCCCCAACGTACGCTGCCGAACAAACTTAGGCCCTCTGTGTAGCACCCCACGAGCAAAAAGCAGGAAGCTTGCAAGCCGGAATGTCATAGGAAAACAATACTATTACGTCACGCATAAATCTTCGGAGAGATATTATAGCTACGTAATTGTCAAGACCACAAATTATGCTGACGGGCGTGAGAAAGAAAAGGTGACGATGTTTCAGAGAATGCGCGCACGTCGTTTCCTGTTCTCTCGAATCGAATCAGATGCAGAGACCGTCAAACCAATCAGTGCCTTATAAGTGAGTGGCTCCCTACTTTTATTACCATTGCAGGTTAAGTGAACGCTAACATCCCATTTTTCACCATTGGACTACAAAACGGTGGATAATGAATGAACGTACGTCTGCATTCATCACTGCACAAATGGTGGTAGAAGACAAATCTTGACAAAAAAAAAAATCTTCTTTATGTCCTGTTACATACTTCAAGTGACGTATCTTCGTTACAGAAACCACAGTACCGAATGTTACAGTTCTCGGCCACATCATGTATTTGCTACATATCTCAACCTTGAAATGACAATTTAGTTCAGTTAAGACCAAGCGAAAAGTCGACACATTGTCCAGTTTCTTGAGCTGAAACAAACTTAGAAGTTGCGTTTGATGTTCTGCAACTGAAAACCAGCGAACTCTCTCTGGCCGAGCTCACAATTCTGGAAGCTGGAAATGGTGAGAGAAAGGGCGGGTGGTGGCAACTCGCAGGTTACAACGAAATGTGGAGAATCGAGATTCAGGGAATCCTGAAGCTTTTCGCTGAATACTTCCAACGGGGCTCCTTTTGGCTCCATTCTCCTGATGGGATTTGGAGCCCGTTGTGGCCACCCCTCAGAGTGACAAGTGTGAAGCAATCTTTACGCTTTACATCCGCAAGTTGACTTGGTAGTTTTCATTTAATGCGTGGAAGCCTTTATTTCGGCGTCATAATCGAGGAACATACTTGTCAAGATGGACGTCCTCCGGCAACAAGCTAACTCCTCTTGTGGGTGAGTAGCTTCTCAATTACTGAATTTAACCCCGAAAAACACGCATACCAATTTGCACGACAGTGATTGTTGAGATCAGCAGCGAAACCATAATCTCGCTCATTGTGTAGTGGGAATTACTGCATCAAGCTTGGCAGGAGTATTCACAAGGCGAGATATACACTGCGAAGGAGAGATCCTCGAGATAATATATGTAAATATATGTATGTATATTTCCAGCTGCTGTCAAGAGCCATCCAAGCTACAGAACATTCTCAATTTTAGTATATCCGGAGAGATTTTCAAAGAGTGTCCACGTTATGAAGTGGAGAATACTGATATGACCACTTGGCGCATTGCAGTTCCCAATCGAGAACATTCTTCCTCGTCTCTCGTTCGAAGGACTTCGATTGACAAGACCAGCTCAAGCACCCCACCTACCCCGCAATGCCGCATCGATGTTCCTCGAATCCTCGTCAAGTTTGAAGTTTATGTTGGATGGGCCTGAAATAAGAACTCGAATGCCACAGCGACTAGGAACGCAACAGCTCATTAGTGAAAAGCTACCTCCAAAAAAAGAAACAATCCAGTAAACATCAATCCAGTAAACAAACTAGTGTTGCAACAATTCTGTGGAATAATGCAAGGTCCAGCGTTGCTTCTAGCAATCATTTTGTTAAAGCAGTAAACAAATATTGTGTGTGTGTGTGGATGTCACTTCAAGTGCATGGCAAAAACATAACCTACTAATAGTACAAAAACACAGGGATAAAGTAGAAGAATGTTTTGGAGAAAAATAAATAGGGAATTGAGAAGCAAATGAGAGAGAGCCACTTTGTAATATGTTCGAGAGATTGGAGCATAATTGTTTTTGGAGAATATCAATTAAATATGGGTTTGAAAGTCATAGACTCTATCTATTTTTGCTTTCTAATTTAACATTTTTACTGTGATAAGAAATAAATTAGAGTTAGAAATCACCAAAGTAAAAGTTAGTAATTGGTGTGCAAGTTTTGAACTAGTAAAGACGAGCAATTGGTGTGCAAGTTTTGAATTTTATGGTTTTATAATAATAAATTTTTTTTTTAAATTAAAGAACAATAATTATTATGTAAGTTTGAATATTTTTAGTAATCACAATTTTTATTGGTTATTGGTTGTTTCGTAGTAAAGAATTTGTATTAAAAAATGTATTTATTAGATGTGTTTTGGACTTCTAAGTATTATAATTGTTGCTTTTTGTTTTCTTTATAGCCACTAAGTTTATTTATTATGAATGACTTGAAATATCAACGACATAAACCATGATAGAATCTTAAAAAGATAATATATTCATAAAAGATGTATTATACTTATAGTTGTCTACTACTTATTTATTTGACTACAATTATGTAATACTAGATGAGTCCATGTCGTTGTCATGAAAAGTGACTCAAATAAAGCTATTTCTATGAGCCAAAGAATATTTTTAAAATTCAAATATAATACAATACAAATAGAAAGAAATAAAATACATAATAGATCTTTTAGATATGAAGTAGGATAAGTAAATCCATACTATTATTATGGATAATATACAAAAAAAGTACTTAATTTAATTCAAGGAACTACTTGTGAAAATATATAAATAAATAAATAAATAAATTATATTAAAAAATATATTTAGAAATTCAAAGATATACTAAAGTTAATAAGTTAATTAATTAAAATACAATATATAAAAAATAAATCACTAAATTGTGCTTATATTCTAGAAAATCTAAGCACACTGCTTGACATTGCCTAAAGAAGCGACACAATCATAAAATGAAGAGTACATCTATCAAAGAAGATAGTATGTCAAAAAACAAGTTTGTCCAACTATAATAGAGACCGTGCGACTAGAACCTTGTACAACACTTAGTGAAGGTCCTATTCTCCCCTCAAAACCCTCTCCTTATTTTATGATAAATATTATTTTAGGACCTAAATAACACAAAGCCTCTACTTTGTTAGATTCAAGAGCCTCAGCATGTTTCTTAGATGAAGAATTTGCTAAAAGACATAGCATACTTTTAGTGAAGAAAACTAAACCCGTTCATGTAGAAGTCATAGATGGTCGTCCATTGTCTTCAGGAGATGTTACTCATGAAATCTTTCTTATAGAAGTAGCAACTAATGGTCATAGTAGCTTTATAATATTTAATATCATTAGATCTCCTTCTAATCTAGTCATTTTAGGTTTATTATGGCTAAAAAAATATAATCCTAAAATAGATTGGACTTCTCATAGTCTTGACTTTTTTAAAATTATAACTAAGAGCATAGCTAATCAAATAAGAATTCATAAATTTAATATAATTAAACCTATATTTGTAGGTGCAAGAGCTTTTTTGTATGCTGCAAAAGAAGAATCACCTTGTATCATTTATGTCGCATATGTTTCTATTGGTAGAAAGACTTTAAGTGGTATTTCAACCCAATATTAAGATTTTCAAGATATATTTGAGAAAAAAAATGCAGATACTCTTCCAGAACATTGTCCCTGTGATTGCTCAATTGACCTTCAAGAAGGAGCACAATCGCCATTTGGATCAATCTATAGTTTATCACAAAATGAATTGGCTCAATTCAAGGAGTATATTGAAGAGAATCTAGCTAAGAATTTCATACGCCATTCCAAATCTCCAATAAGAGCTCTAATTTTATTTGTAAAGAAAATAGATGGATTATTGTAGATGTGTGTCAATTATCGAGGACTCAACAAAATCACCATCAAGAACAGGTACCCACTACCTTTGATACTTAGACTCCTTGATTAGTTGAATCAAGCTAAGATCTATACAAAAATAGATCTATGAGGAGCATACAATCTGGTATGCATCAAAGAAGGAGATGAATAGAAGACTGCATTTCAAACAAGTTATGGACATTTCAAATACAATGTCATGCCTTTTAGACTAACAAATGCATCAGCATCATTTCAACATCTATTGAATGATGTCTTTTGGGAATTTTTAGATGATTTTATTATTTGTTATCTAGACAACATCTTACTCTATTCTAAGAACACAAAAGAACATGAACTTCATGTGTGTCATGTATTACAAAACTAAAAGATGAGGGATTCTATACCAAGATAGAAAAGTATGTATTTCACACTACTCAAGTAAACTTCTTAGGATACATCATTTCAAATAATGGACTTATGATGGATCCTAAGAAAGTTCAAGCTATTATGGATTGGAAGATTTCAAAAACGGTAAGAGATGTCTAATGCTTTTTGGACTTTGCCAACTACTATCAGATCTTCATTAAAGACTTCTCTCAAGTTGCAGCTCCACTTACACATTTGACTAGTAAAGACAAACTTCAATAGAATCAAGGAACAAAAGAAGCATTTGAAGCTTTGAAGACAACCTTTGATTCTGCACTAATGTTGTATCGCGTCGATTTTTTTAAGCTATTTTTTATGGAAACAAATGCATTAGAATTTTCTTTGAGTGTTGTATGGTCACAAATGGAAACAGATAATAAACTTCACCTAGTAGCTTTTCATTCCAGAAAATTTTCAATAGCAAAGATCAACTACAAGATCCATGATAAAAAACTTCTTGCAATTGTGGATTTGTTTCAAGAATGGCACTATCATCTAGAAGGTGCTCTTAGTCTAGTCATCGTTGTCGTGATGTAACATGACTAATAGGTGAAAGAGTGTCAAGATTATTATAATGTATGAGATCTTAGTTCAAAGTATTAAAGCAAATTATCTTAGAAATATAGTTAATAGTCAAAAGGATAGTAAAACTAAAAGGTATCAATATTGCCTTTTAGAAAGGTGACTTATATTTACTTTGTAGGACCATAAATAAAGTAGATACTTTATTTATACTATTACAAAACAAAGTAGATTAGAAAAATAAATATTATAGGTATCTTAAGAAGAGGAGTTAAGAGTAAATTCTAGCAAAATTTACTTAAAAAAACTAGATATTAATACCCGGAGAGGGCTGGTTAGCAACCTAGGTCGAAATCAGACCTTAAGGCACAAAACCGAGTCTTGACGACAACTTCGGGATTCTTTTATAAATCAAAGAGTAGGATTTGATAGCAGATTAAATAAGATTTCTATAAGCATTGATCTTGGGTGATTTGGAGTTGTTATGACTTCGTAAGAGCTTTATAAAGTCAAGATCATTTTTGGATGTCTTAGGTTTTGTGAAATAAAATAGGATTGATGTTTCTAGTAATTTCAAGAGT